AAATTAACCCATAAAAAGATGTTACTAGAGAAAGAACAGTATATATATCAAGATATAGGTAAATATTTACCAAGTCTCATGTTTACAATTGAATTTGATGCAGAATACCAGCCAAACACTTGTATGCCTACATCACTACTGCAGTAAACAATCATAATTACAATCGTACTGATCGTCATTTTGCTACTTAACAATATGAAATGTAACTGCGTACTGAAATGAAATACAAATAATAAATTCATTTCTATACTTATATCTATATTTCAACTAGGGTATAGAAAAAGGTTAGTTACAAAATATCAATCTTCTTCATAGAGCCACATCACTTAGGCATTTGACTAAGTTCACTTCCGGTTTTGAGGGTTGAAAAACATCAGAAAATATGTATTCTGTTTATGTCATGTTTCGGTTATTATCATGTTTTTCTCTGACAAATGGGAAGTGATATTAAGAGGAATCTACTGTATAACGTTAGTACAGCTACATAAATAGTATAGCGTTAGTACAGCTACTTAAATAGTAAAGCGTTAGTACAGCTACATAAATAGTATAGCGTTATTACAGCTACTTAAATAGTATAGCGTTAGTACAGCTACTTAAATAGTATAGCGTTAGTACAACTACTTAAATAGAATAGCTTTAGTATAGATACTTAAATAGTATAGCGTTAGTACAGCTACTTAAATAGTAAAGTGTTAGTACAGCTACTTAAATAGTATAGCGTTAGTACAGCTACTTAAATAGTATAGTGTTAGTACAACTACTTAAAAAGTATAGCGTTAGTACAACTACTTAAATAGTATAACGTTAGTATAGCTACTTAAATAGTGTAACGTTAGTACAGCTACATAAATAGTATAGCGTTAGTACAGCTACTCAAATAGTATAACGTTAGTACAGCTACATAAATAGTATAGCGTTAGTACTGCTACTTAAATAGTATAGCGTTAGTACAACTACTTAAATAGTATAACGTTTGTATAGATACTTAAATAGTATAGCGTTAGTACAGCTACTTAAATAGTATAGTGTTAGTACAACTACTTAAATAGTATAGCGTTAGTACAACTACTTAAATAGTATAACGTTAGTATAGCTACTTAAATAGTATAACGTTAGTACAGCTACATAAATAGTATAGCGTTATTACAGCTACTTAAATAGTATAGTGTTTGTACATCTACTTAAATAGTATAGTGTTAGTATAGATACTTAAATAGTATAGCGTTAGTACAGCTACACAAACAGTATAGCGTTAGTACAGCTACATAAATAGTATAGCGTTAGTACAGCTACTTAAATAGTATAGCGTTAGTACAGCTACTTAAATAGTATAAAGTTAGTATAGATACCTAAATAGTATACTGTTAGTACAGCTACTTAAAAAGTATAATGTTAGTACAGCTACTTAAATAGTATAACGTTAGTACAGCTACTTAAATAGTATAGCGTTAGTACAACTACTTAAATAGTATAGCGTTAGTATAGATACTTAAATAGTATAACGTTAGTACAGCTACTTAAATAGTATAGCGTTAGTACAGCTACTTAAATAGTATAGCGTTAGTACAACTACTTAAATAGTATAGCGTTAGTACAACTACTTAAATAGTATAGCGTTAGTATAGCTACTTAAATGGTATGGCGTTAGTACATCTACTTAAACAGCCCCCCAAAAATCCTCTGGATCCGCCACTGCTATACGATAAGTATCGTAAGCAAAAAGCGACAGTAAAACTTTGATAAGTTGAAGTCCTCGGGTATGTTACAATTACGAAGCTAATTTAATCGTTAATACATGTATGAACTCGCTATAGATATTTCACAATCACCAAAACAGAAATCTGAAATAACTATTTCGTAATTACACGTAACTTTAGTATCAATATGTCACCAAAATAATTTAATGAAAAGTCGTACTTATGAGCTGTAGTTATAAATTTGTCAGTGTCAAAAAAAGCAACAGGAAGGCCTATGTCGTGTCATATGTACCTATATGTACCGCGAATGAGAGAGAGAGAGAGAACTTGGAGTTATCTACCCCTGTCAAAAAAACTCCCAAGGACTAACATTACCAAAACTCCCGCCACACAAACACTTGTTCATGGTTGTACTGTAGTGATGAAATACAGTATTTATATTAATAGTGTAATCTTCTCTTAGTCGGGATTGACCTGGAAACTACAGTTGTTAGCTCAATTGGTTAGAGCGACTGTATTGTCATCGTACATTTAAGTTATTCTTCTTCAAATGCTTCTGTTTAAAAAAAAAAAGAATGCTGTTGTCGTGACGGTAACAAATCCAAAGTTATAGTTTTGGGCCTAGGTACGAGGATCCTTAAGATAAAACTACAAACACGTGATTTTCACGTAACAAGGGAAGTAACTCCTATATAGATTTCTCTGTAATTCTCAAATCAAAGAAAGCAATTTTGAAGCCGCCGTTCATCACAAAATTGGAGCACTTGAACGAATCACTAAGTTAGGTTTATTATAGATACAATCGATACTATAATGTCGCTAGGCTCAACAGAGACGTACTATTTAACTTCTCGGACCGAAGCTTTAACTCGAAGTAGAAAACGAACAAGTCGACGACGCCATGCCACGATCAAAGTTTTCTTGCAGGACTTCTCGGATTTCTTGCAATGGACATAAGATAACGGTAAGATATTCACCTCTTTGTGTGTCAGTTTAACTTTTACTCTAATGACCAGACATATATAAGGGCCAGAGGAAACTGGCTAGTTTTACTTTAGAATTGAATCTTCAAGTTCATTTTTTTATTGATGTAACATTTCACTTTTAGGTTGAATATTTGAGAACTCATGAATATTCAAAAATGTTGCAAGGGTAGTTTTTTTTTCTCTGTATCTCATCACTCCAGTACAACCATGAACAAGTGTTTGTGTGGCGGGAGTTTTGGTAATGTTAGTCCTTGTGAGTATTTTTAGACAGGGGTAGATAACTCGTGTATCCTAAACAAAGACAGTCACAAAGACAGTCTCGTAGACATTGATCAAAAATGTATTAAACATCTAACTTTTTTGTAACGGTAAATATGAAGATTTAAAAAGTATACTTCAAATAGCAAGACCAATCTAGAGTACAATGTTGATTTGCCAAAATGTTTCATTGGACCATTACATTGAAAAAATATTGAACAAGTTTAGATATTGGACTATGTTGCTTTTTATACATTGAAAAAATATATTAAAGCATATTAAACAGCATTCTGTTCCGTCTTAATTTGGTACTTTAGCAAGGAACAGGATTGCAGACCAAACAAATGCCGCGCGTTGCTTATCTGCTTGCTTAGTCTGATTGCGGAGGGGAATAAAAGATATAACTATCCGGTAATTAGTCGATCTTGTGGAGATATCACTACGCCTGTACGTGTTATGGTCTTATAACACGGAACTGGCCTTGGTAGTGTTATATAGTGACA